TTAGGATGATGTTAATGCATAAACTTAGTTACTATGTGACCTTAACTCCCTGCAGCCACCCTGGGGGATCTGGGTGTCCCTGGACCACTCACCTCTGCTGCTACAGAGCATCTCATCCTGATAATTGGGGGAGGCACCTTGATATGTGCATATGGTGGGGAAAAAAGGTTGTATCAAATTTAATGAATACTAACTCAGAGTTGCATCTTTGGGAAGCAGTAGGAAAAGGTCTACTATTTGCATGTAAATGGAAAGCTTGGAAATGTGCAGAGGACTTCCAAAAAGATCAGCAAGGATATTGCTTCAGCAGTTGAGAAAGTATGTGTTTTGTTTTATGTGAGAACCATAATTCCAATTTATTCTACTAAATTGGTAATGAAAAATAAAAGGAAATGCAGAATGAATAGAAGTTTAATTATAAGGGTGTATTACATAGCTTGGTCATAAAATAGAGTATTTCAGTAGGAAGATGATAAAAAGATAAAAACAGTGAAACCTGCATACTTTGATGCATACAAGTGTATTCCATTATATCAGCATCTGAAAGATACGCTACATATGAGTACAAAGGTAAGACTTTCCATCTAATGTATAGCTAGCACAGTCAGGTTTTCTTTGATTAATTTTTTTTTAAATTTTATTTATTTATTTAAGCCCAGTTTCCCTTCATATCTTTCAGATTCCTACTCCTTCTCTTGATTAAAGTAAAGAAAACATTGAGGAATAAATGTAAATCTGAGTGGGTTCCATCATCATACAATGTTTGGGAATGCACTTCATCAGAATTCGTATTCAGTTAATCAGAAAGAAAATTATTGGAGAATGCTGTCTTGGAGTACCCAGGCCCAACTTGCAAATTTGTGTAATGTTTTGATAAGCTGTATTTTTGTACTTGTAGTTTGGAATGTTTTGCTTGAATATTTGTACTTTTACACTTGCACATTTTTGGGAACACTTGATTACAGAAATAATAGAAGATGCATCTTGTCTCTATTGGAATCAAAGGGTGAATTAAATCATTGTTTGCTACCTAATTTTTTAAACCTAAATTATTACATGTCTGTGAAAGACATTACAGTTCAATTAAAGAGGTGAACATAGCGTTTACAAGCATGTTTGATTGTTGCACTTTTTATTTTTTCTTAATTCTTGCTTGTCTCTTGTACTTGCCATTACATATTTTTTCCTTCTGTGAGTGCAAACTTTCTGTCTCACCTGACAGATTTTTTTTTTTTTTTTTTTATGCTGAACCAATGTAGGAAGCCTGCTTAGATGCTAGACTTTAAACATAATACCAATATATTTTTTTTGCAGTACCACTGAAATCATTGTACTGATTGAAAGCAAAGTTATAGCTTACTAGCATTTAAATAAATGTGAAGCTATAACTATGTGTACTTTTTTTCTTGTTCGCTTGCAGGAATTTACAGCATCCTTTCTAAGATACTAAAATAACAAATTTCTTATATATCTGATATTGCGTACTCCACTTTTGCTGAAGTGCATTGTTCCTTTATTAATTTTCACTTGTCTTTTTTTTTTCCTTCATGATTTTCATTGTGATTTAATGTGACTTCTGTGTCATTTTCTAGTTCATTGCTACAGAAGTTTGATATGTAGTCATTAACTACTGCCTTGATTTTTTTTTTTTTTTAAAATAGTAGAAGGCGTATCTGTTTGGGCCAAGTAAACAGTTCATTCCTATCTTTTCTTCTTGTATAGAATTGAGACATTTTCCCTAGATGATTTAAATACAGTATCTAATAAGCCGCACATAGCTGCACTGACTAGATATCCATTTTGCCTGAAACACAAACATTTATACATGCACTTAAATTTAGTAAAGTTAGCTTAAAAATGTTTAAGACAGTGGATCTGTTTGTCTCATGTCAGGTTTAATTCTTCTCTAAAATGGCCCAAATGGAACATTTTAATTGCCTTTCTTTCTCGGGTGACTATCATATGTATGCCTTTAAATATTTTTCCCAGATTGCCAGTTTTTTTTGTATTGCAAATGCTGTATTAAAAAACAACAGCAACAAAAAACACCAACAAACCAAGACCAACAATGTTGGTTATCATTAAATGTCTTTTTAATATAGCACATTTAAGTAAAATAGTATTAAAAAGTAAAACTGTTTCAGAGACTTTTTGTTCATGGATTTATAACTGAGTGATTTATTACTGAGGTAACAACTGACTTTATCCTCTTCCCACCCCCCCAGAAAAATATCTTTAAGGATCATTTTTTTTCAGTCTTTTGTGTATTAACGTTGATCAGTAATTCTGATTCATATCATTGAATATCTGCACCTCTCCTGTAGGAAAGGTTGGGAGAACTGGGCTTGTTTAGCTTGGAGAACAGAAGGTTCCAGGAAGATCTCATTGTGGCCTTCCAGTACTTGAAGGGAGCATGTAAACAGGAGGTGGTACGACTGTTTATGAGGGTGAATTGTGATAGGACAAGGAGGAATGGTTTTAAACTAAGACTGGGGAGGTTTAGGCTAGATATTAAGTGGAAGTTTTTCACACAGAGGGTGGTGACACACTGGAACAGGTTGCCCAAGGAAGTTGTGGATGTCCCATCCCTGGAGGCATTGAAGGCCAGGCTGGATGTGGCTTTGGGCAGCCTGGTCTGGTTGTTGGTGACCCTGTACATAGCAGGGGGGTTGGAACTAGATGATCATTGTGGTCCTTTTCAACCCAGGCCGTTCTATGATTCCATGATAAAACTATGTGAAAAATAAATTAGCTTCAGAAAGAGTGATACAGTCTTACTCTACGTACGCACACATCATTTAGTCTGCAGATTTCTTCTTAACTTGACCCTAAAGCAATGCTTTATTTGTTCTCTTGTTTAAACAATGTCTGTTCTTTATTTGCTCTTCTCAACCTACTTTTCATTTAGTTGCTCAGTTCAATAACAGCAAAAAAACAACATAAACAAAGCTAAAAAGAAACCGCTCTCTGAATAGAAAAATCACAGAATCACAGAATTGTAGGGGTTGGAAAGGATCTCCAGAGATCGAGTCCAACCCCCCTGCCAAAGCAGGTTCCCTACACCAGGTTGCACAAGTAGGCATCCAGGTGGGTCTTGAATATCTCCAGAGAAGGAGACTCCAAACCTCCCTGGGCAGCCTGTTCCAGTGCTCTGTCACCCTCACTTCTATTCATAAATACTTTTTTTCCAATTTTTTTTCCTGTTTTTCAGACTTCTTTAAGTAGAAATAAATCACTACTATTATATTAGAGCCCAATAAATACAGCAGGGTACACGATGTTTTACTTTCCCCTATTTATTTATTTTTGTTGTTGTTTGTTTTTAATTCAAACTGGAAAAATGAATACGTACAGAGATAAGTCAGCTTTGCAAAGTTTAGTGAAGTCACTAGTGCTCTGCAGAAGCTTGTATCTTTTTTTGATACTACAGAAAGTTAAATTCTGAAAGTACATACAAGTACAGCAGTGCAAGATGTGAAATGTTTACCTGTAAATGTGTAAATTTTTAAAACACTTGAAATAGAAAACTGTCATGATCAACAAAAATATAATTCAGAGAAAAAATTTGGGAAAACCTTCACATAAAGAGCAGAGAAGTATCTGCCAGCATTAGATCCAAAAATCTAATGTCTGTTTCAGATATTCTGTAATATCAAGTATTCTGAATTTGCTGAGATATTTCAGTGATTCTTTGCATGTGGATTGATATGAAGTGAAAGAAAGATTTTTCTCTGCTTGACTTCAAAGACATTCCTGTAATAGCTGTTTCTGAGTAGAAGAGAACATTCAGAGAAGTCCCTTTTGCAATGCTCTGTGTGCTTTGTGTGAAATTAGTTCAGATTGCAGTTTAATGGTTTCATGGCCTGAGCCTTTCGCTTACTGGTAGCATACAAACAAAATAGCAAGTCTAAGGGGAGTCTAGGTTCTTCTCTGTGTTTACTTTAAGAACTCCACAAAGAACAACATTGGACACTGAAACCTATATTGAGTCTGTGAAACAATAAACCAATGAGTCAAGCCAATATCTATTCACTTAAGGTGCTCAAAAACTTAGTTGTGTATCATGAGAGCATCACTGATCTGGCAGCGAGAGAACTACAAGTTCTAGCACTTTCTTCTTTCTTTCTTTCTTTGACTTCTAGTCTAGAAAGCAGTCAAAGGAAGGACCGAAGTGTGATAACCATATAATTTCAGCTCAGTGGTTGTAGCAATCAGAGAATGCATGGCAGTTAAAATTCTGTGATGAAGTGCTTGCAAAAAAATACTGATGTATTTTAATATGTTCTTGCTTTGTAATATTTCTATATTTTCCAGTGAAAAACCTTTTATTTTCTGTAAGATGCTATTATACTGATTCAGTTTCCAGCTATTAAGATGTAATCATATAACTTATAAGTATATAACTATAAATTTACTTTATGAACTATCTCCTAAGAATGCATCCACAGTAAATGGACTCATTTTCTTATGATTTACTAAAAATGCTGATTTGAGAGTGGTTGTCATGTGGAAAGTATATTAGTCCCTACGGTTGCCTTGTATTAATCAGATTGTTACTTCAAAGTTTATAACATATGAAATGATGTAGCCTCATGCTTCTCACTTTGAATCACAGCTGAAAAATGATCTTTTGAGCTAAATCATGTAATAAAAATATAGGAACCTTGAAAACAAATAACACAGTAATAAATTTAGATGTTGCATAACAATATGTATCTTAAGTATTTTTGAGAGTGAAAAGAGTAATCTAGAGGCTTTTTAGTAAAGTTTGTTTCAATTTATAACAGCTGCCTAAAAGTACATTGACTTTAGATTTTCTCTGAAAAATAAAGCCTTCTTAATAGCAAATCCTGAAGCACCTAGCTTGATCTCATTCTGTGGAGACATTGTTTGGCTGTACTACTTTTAATAAAAGCAACTGGACTTTTCAGTACTTTTCAAAATGCTTTAAGTTGTGGAACGATTATCTGACTTGGTTTTGTTTTTGCTTTTTCTTACAGAATGAGAGAAGTGAAGGAACTACAGCTGATTTCTATATTGTAATCTGATCAAAATGGTTTTGGCACTAGAAGGTTGAATATTCCTGCTCCTTATGGAGGCATTATAAATAACAAATGGCTAAGGTTCTGTAAAACTTAACAACCAGTCTGAAACATGGAGATGCAGCTAGACCCCACGAAAGATGACTTGCCCTTAATGGCCAACACTAGCCACATGCTTGTAAAGCACTATGTTTTGGACTTGGATGTGGATTTTAAAAGTCAGGTTATAGAAGGAATCATAGTTTTATTTTTGGAGACAGGGAGCAGATACAGGAAAGCCAGCAGAATTGATAAAAAAGGCTGCCAGTCACACCTTAATGAAACCTGTAAAATTGGGCCATCAGAACCCTGCCACATTTCTGTGTCAGATGCAAGTGTCTTCTCATCTGAAGCAGAATATAGTGATTTTGCTGTCTGTGCTAAAGGTGAAAAAGATGCTTCTGATAAAAATGGTAACCACAGCAATGAGGAGCAAACTTCTGGGATTTCTAGTTCAAAGAATTGCTGTGACACAGAGAGCCATGGGAACAAGGATTTTCTACTGGTATTGGACTGCTGTGATTTATCTGTGCTAAAGGTTGAGGAGGTAGATATTGCTGCTGTGTCAGGCATTGAGAAATTCACCAAGTCTGCTGAACTAACTGATGTTTCAAAGGAGCTGGAAAATCTCAGAAATCAGATTGTACACGAACTTGTGACTTTACCTTCGGATCGCTGTCCAGAACAGCTGTACTATTTCACTTGCTGCAGCCAGGCACCTGGCTGTGGAGAGCTTGATTTTACTACTGGCAGCTGGAGCTTGGAGATAAGGAAACAGGGAGTTCAGACTCCAACAGACTTTCCTCATGCTATACGAATACGGTACAAAACCAAACCTGAGGGAAGATCTGTTAAATGGACTACTGACCAGAGTGGCAGGTATGTAAATTAGCTGAAAGATTTTGCACTTGTTAATTTTAAACACAGGTGTGAGAATGTTTGCCTATATACTGCTGAGGAGCTCTGTGAAAATGATGAGCATTCCCTTCCACTGTATCTCTTGTGTACTTGGTTTGAATCCTACTGCTATCCCGCAGAATAACAGATAAACTGTTCTCTGGAGACTCCACAGCGCTTGCAGACCTCAAGCCTGCCTAAACGATTGTGCTTCCTTAAACTAAATGGGAATAAATAATTATTGAGTGCTGGGTAAGTGTGTGAAGGGAATAGGAGGTGATCATTTTGAGGAAAGGAGATATATGTGACAAGTTATTTTCATTTTAGTACTTTACGTTCTCTTTCTCTTAAACAACAAGTCATACCACATAAAAATCAGTATGCTGAACACTTAATAGAATATCTTCACAGCTAGTCTTTTATCAACACTGTACTAAGTTTACAGATTCAGTCTTTTCCTGATAAATCTCTCATAATCAACTTTTAAAATCTTCTTCACCTCTTACGTAAAATACACTGATGTTGGTAAATGCACTGCTTTTTTTTTTTTAATCTGGCTTTTATGAATGTACATAGTGTTATCTTGAAAATTTCTGTATAAGATTTTTGTGTGAGTGGATCCACAATTCACTCCTGACTTACACAACTGTATCTGTAATGTTCAAAGGTGGATTTTAATAACTATTATTTCTTTAGTGTTTGATAATTTGAAATTGGGGCAAAGTTGGAAGATGATAAATAAATTGTGTCTAATGCTTCCTTTTCATTCCTAAAGTAGTGATGTATGGTTAACTTTCATTTCAGTTATGCTAACGTAAATGAAGAGTTTGCTCAGAGGCACCCATGTCTGGTATTTAATTTATTCTACTGGTAAACTGTGATCAGCATCAAGCACAGCAGTTAATTAGTTAGTGGTTAATATTCATTAATTCCTACACTTCCCCTTCTCTACTCACTCCTCAATAAATTATTAACAATATAGGTGCAGGAAGTTTAAGTCAAGATAATCGTTAGTTACAGAAATTCTGAATTTTGACTGAAGCACAAGATAATATAATTCTCAATAAGTCTGTTACCGTGAAGCTTTATGGATTAGTGGGTTTAGGCACATTCAGGTATGAGTATGCAAACCTCATGCAAACACTTCAGGAAACACTTCTCTTTTCAGTACAGGGACTAAACACAGATAATTTCAGCAAGTCTTACAGGGAGATGCTGAGGGAATGAGATTATTCAATATAGAGAAGAGGAGGCTCAGGGGAAATCTCAGTGCGCTCTACAAATGCCTGAAAGGAGGTTGTGGTGAAGTGGGAGTTGGCCTCTTCTCCCAGCTAACAGTAATAGGACAAGAAGGAATGGCCTCAAGTCGTGCAGTGGAGGTTGGATATTAGGAAAAATTTTCTAAAGAATGATCAGGAGTTGGAATGGGCTGCTGAGGGGTGGCTGAGTCACCATCTCTGGCAGTGTTCAAGAAATGTTTAATCGTACCAAGGGATGTGCTTTACTGGGGAAATGTTGGTGGTAGGGGAACGAACGGTTGGACTGGATGATCTTGGAGGTCTTTTCCAACCTTGGTGATTTGATGATTCCATTACTCTAATTCCAAAATATAGTGCTATACCTGCCACTATGAAAAAAATCCTATCCCAGCTGATACCAAGAGATGTGGCTTGCAAATTTGCCTCTAATGGGAGATATTTCCCACTGTTTTTCTGACCTACCTGCTAGCACTTCTAGTGCTGTCTAAATTAGTTACTGATTTTGTTGATATTAGTGAGGAAACGGAATGGAATTGGAAATCTTTCTTTAATGAGGCTGTAGGAGTGAAAGAGAATCTTTGATAGGAAAGGCATCAATAGAAAAGCATGACAATGAAAGCTGGGTCCTAATCGTGTACTGACCTGTGCATTGTTTACTTTGGCACACATGAACAGGTCAGCCTATTTGGACTATTTGAAGTTCAGCACATGCATATGTAATTGTTTTTTTTTAGTTTGGTGCCCAAGTAGTAGATAAATAGGAAAGATAGATAAGTAGGAAAATTGAATTCTTAGAGTAAATGATTCACCTAAGATTGCTATGGAAGAAATATATTTTTAGAAGGTATTAAAGGACAACTCTGTAATTTTGGGGAAGCTCAAGAAAGATTTCAATTTGTGCTGATTTGAGAGGTCCCCAAATTGGAAATAGTTAAAATGTGAAATGATCTCTTAAAAAAAAAAAAAAAAAAAAGTGAAATCCTGATATTTGTTTGACCAATTTAAATGCTTTTTCTTTAAAAAACATTTATACCCATCTACTTATTATCTTTGTACTATCTTACTGTTAGATTAAAATATTAACTCATTTTTAAAGAATTAATGAATGTTTTTTGACTTTATGAAAGCTATACATGTGAATACAGGAAGCATAAATGTATAATTAGGTAAAAATGAAAATACAGATGCAAGTAAACGTATGTAAATGCTTTTGTTTTTGAGCTGCAGTATTCAAATGTATCACAGATGTAGCTGAACTACTTAGTTACTCATTTGTCACAAATAATCTTGCATTTCTGTAATGGACAGCTGAGCATATGAGGCAGTGATTAGGCAGATATCCAGTGACATGGTACCCAAAGAGGTGGCACCTAACATAGCATGATGGACCAGTAAACCCCTAAAATGGGAGAAGACTCACTGAATATGAACATGAACTTTTGAGTATAGCACAGGGTATGACTGGCCATAGCTGTCACAAAGAAAGCTGACATCTCAGAACAAAGGGGTCCACTGTGTGATCTATGTTTTAGATAAACAGCTATGTTAGTTGAGTAGATCGACTGCTGATGTATATGTTTCTCCCTGAGTCCACTGAAAGATTGTTAATGTTTCCCTGAGTCAGCCGCGTTAGCATTGGGGATTAAATACATGGCAACATAGAGTATAGAAATTAAACAAGAAGAGCTTATTGAAGACAGGTAGTGGACTTGCACTATCTTCATTCCGTGTATTCCTTCTTGATGACTGTGAATGTCCAGCGCCGTAATGGTGAGTGTCTTATGGGCTGGTAATAGGAATCACATTGATATTGTGATTTGAACTGTGTATTTCAGTAGCTGTGTTTTAATACGGGGAAGTTACACTTGTTCTGTGTTTCCAGTATACATTATATCACTCTTCTAAATCAAAATTGTCATGTTATATCAAATAGCATCAAAGAAGTAATTTTGATATTAAACACTACACCCTACATACATGAAATGTCTGAAAGAAGGTGTTCAGAGAGTACTGGACTGTGGCACATTAAAACAAAACAGACCTTGATTTCACGTTCAACTTATTTGATGTGCCTGGTACTGCTGAAATGCAAAAAACAAGTAGAAAATTTCTGCATAACTTGCGCAGAATTGTTGTCATAGAATGGATTAGTTTGGAAGGGACTACTAAAGGATATCTCATCCAGCCTCCTGCCATGTGCAGCAATACCTTCTGCTGGACTACACAGCACAAAGAGCCACCCAACCTGGTATTGAACCCTTCCAGCTTCTCTAGTCAACCTGTTCCCAATCTTACCAGCTTCATCACAACAAAAATAAAAATAAAAATAAACATAAGGCAGTTACACAAAAATTAAATCTACCCTCTTACAGTTAAAGACTACTGCCCCTGTCTTATCACCACAGGTAAAAGGCCTTCTTCATTTTTCTTATAAACCTTCATCTGTTGAAATGTTGCCATAAAGCTTTGCCAAAGAATTCTCCAGGCTGAACAAGCCCAGCTTCCTCAGCCTGTTTTCGTAAGAGAGGGGCTCTAGCCCTCTGAGCATCTCTGTGGCCTCCTCTCAGCCCACAGTCCAACAGTTCACATCATTCTTGTGCTGAGAGCCCCAGGCCTTCACACAGTACTCCAGATGGGGCTTCAGGAAAGTGGAGTAAAGGCTGGGAGTGTCAGGTGTCCACATCAGGCTGGAACTGTCCAGAAATGTACATAGCGAATTTGAAATGTAAAATTTGGGCTATTTAAGGTTTAGTTCATTGTTGTTACTCCTCGAAAGACTGGAATTTTCTTAAATTTTTAAGTTAAAGTTCTTAACTGGCATTTCTAAGTATTTATATAATGGAAACATGTCAAACATATTTCTTGAATGTTTATCTAAAGTTTAAAGTTCAGACTGAATTCTAGGCAGTGATCTCTAATTTACTGGAATTTACTTGTGAAAGTACATGGTCTTTCTGTGTACAGAAATATAACTTAGAAAAATGTTTGGGGTAGTTGATTGTGCTGTTTCAAGTGCTGCAAAATTGATAGTTACTAAAAATCAGGAAATGGAGTGCAATGCCTTTTAGAATAAGTCTTTTCATGTGGTTTTGTTAGGTTATGACATTGTTTTGTTTCATGTAGAAATGCTGGAAAATTCAAAGTGTCACCATTTTGCATGTGGAATTATTGCTTTCTGAACTAAGATTTCTAAGTGTTTATTTAGAATTGTGTAAGTCCTTTATGTTCTAGATAGAGGTCAGAAGACCATCTGAATGTTGCAAAATTATTTGTGTTGTCCTGAATGACTGGCACTTAAGAACAAAACATTACATCTAGCTAGCAAATTACAATGGATATACTTTAAGTATTTACTGCAAGTCATTCCATAATCGTGCTAGCATGCTTTCACATTTTAGGCCAGACTTGAAAAGTGTTTTCAGTGGCATGCTCAAAAAAAAGATAAATTATATTAATTAAAAGGCTAGATCACACTGTTTCTCCCTACTTATTTCTTTCAAGTATCTGCTAATGCTTTCTTTCAAGCACGACAGGGGCAAAGAAGCAACAAAAAATGCAAATTAAGCATGCAGTATGTACAGTGGAAAAAACTATTTACAATGATACGGGAAATGTGGAAACAAATCAAAACTCGAGTGCATGTGAGTCAGATAGCAAAGAAACAAACACAGATTTCAGAATAGACCTGAGAAAATCCTTCTGTATTGTTGTTGATATGTGTAAGTAGACTGTCTTCTGTTTGTAAACATTGAGGCTAACAACTGGCTGATTTTTTAATCATTACTGCAGAAATAGAGCAGGTAGGATATCTCCTATTTTCTCAGTCATTAATCAGTTATTTTCAATCTTTGTTACCATTTTAACAAGAGTTACAGCTATGAAATTAAATTTTGTGTAAAGGCAATTAGATGTCATCACTGGCATCAGATGAAAAGAAATCCATATTGGGATACAAATTTTATTTCTGATCCTCTTTTACACTAGAATTGTGCTGCCTGACCAAGAACAAAGAAAAATGCCAGCTACGGTGAGCATCCTAAAGTAACACTGCACAGTTACCAGTGCTGCTAAAAAGAAATTCCTCTTTTCCTGTGTGAGGTTTGGACAATTTGAATATTCATATGAGACATCTGATCATTCAATTTTTCACATTCTGAGAAAGTGTGTGGCTTCAGGAGCCAGCCTTGGGCAAGAGCTGCTTGCCAGGCATCAGGCCACACTGAGGTGACCACATGACAAAAATTTGTTCATTTATACACATTTCACTTACGACGGATTGAAGTATTGAGTATTTGCATCACATCACCTTTTATTTGTTCTTCTACAGGTGATAAGGCTATGGAGATGGTAAAGAATCTGAGGACAAGGGGTACGAGGAAGCAGCTGAGGTCTCTGGGTGTTCTCAGCTCAGATAATGGAAGGCTGAGAGGAGGCCTGATGGCAGCTGCAGCTCCTCACGGGGAGGAGAGGGGCAGCGCTGAGCTCTGCTCTCTGTGACAGTGACAGGGCCTGAGGGAACGGCATAGAGCTGTGTGAGAGGTTAGGGACAGGTTCTGCACCAAGGGAGGTGGGCGTGGGACAGGCTGCCCAGGACAGTAGGCATGGACCCAGGCTGCTGGAGTTCAGGGAGCCTTTGGCAATGCTGTCAGACATAGGGTTTGATTTTGGTTGTCCTGTGTGAAGCTGGAGCTGGACTTGATGATCCTTGTGAGTCACTTCCAACTTGGGGTATTCGGCGATTCTGTGATTGTATACTCACTTGTGAACAATACAGAGCATTTCACCCCCTTCCCTTTACTGTAAATTTGAATAATGTTTCAGTGTCCTGCCCAGTGTTATTCTGCCAGCTCATTTTCTCAGTTGTAGCATTTTCCTCTGGAATTTGCCATAGTCAACATGATCCAGTAGAACAAATAACACTTCTGACAAGAATAAAAGAAAAGACTTCAGAATATATTCCATCTATGGCAGTGATATCTCCACATTCATTCCATGTGGTTTAGATTTAGCCTTGGGGAAGGAATTATTTCTGTGAAAGAGTTATTGTGAGGAAAAATAAAATCCTCAGATCTTAGCTATTGCAAAATAGGTTTTGCCAAACAGATTATCTCCTATTTTCCAAAGGATTTTGATGATTTTTTTGTTCAAATTCTGAAAGAAATCAATCAGAATGCTTTTGTCCTCAAGTATTTGCAAAACAAAGCTTAGTGCTCCCAGAATATTGACTTTAAATATCACAGGATTTAAAAGGCTCAGCAAAACAAAGTGATGCTTTTAAAGTTTTCTTACTTTAGCTTGAGAAGCTATTGACTGTGCTTATATAATATAATTTATGTTTTAAAAATTAGCTCTTAAAGGCATGATTCTGAAGGGGTGACAGTATGCAAGTACCAGAAAACTTTGTAAAACTGCAAAACATAATGAACAAAGCAAAAGTAGTATTACACCTGTGACTAGCAGTAGGAATCTAGAAGTTAGTGAAAGGCTGTGTTACCTTCTGTGTCATAGCTGCTAATAAGAAATTGTCTGGCACGAAATGTTGAAGTTGAGTTAGCAAAGGGTCTACAGATGAGGATGCTGCCTAAGACAGCATTAGAGGAACTGCAAAAAGAGCAATGATAAGGGAGATTGCTGTATGGAAAGCTAAAAATAGACTGAAGCTAACAGGGAAGAAATGCTTTCTTTTGATTGTACGTATCTGCAAGGTAAGTGAACTAGCCTGCATCTCCTTACTAGAAGAAGAAATTTAAAAAGTCAGGATTTATCGAGACTGTAACTGAGTAAGGCACAGCACTAGTTCTACTGCTCTGTTTGGATGATCCATCAAGTTGTGGATTAATGGTAATGAAAGCACTAATGAGATGACAGAGAAGCGTCAAAAATGTCAGTAAAGGCTCCAGTGTAATTCTTAGAAGATAGAAGCCTTTCTTGGCCTTACGGTTTCAGCTTAGAGCTATTGTATGAGACTGAAAAGCTAATGCAGGAATATTGTTTTGTTGTTTATGTAAAAAATATTGTTGTATTTTTGCTTTTCTTTATCTTGTCCTAAATGGTTTAAATGGTACTTTGGTTCTTGTCAAGCAAATTTGAAACCTAGCTGAGAAAGTTAAGTATAAAAGCAATACAACAGTATGTTTGATCTTGGACAGAAAACACAATTGAGTCTTCTTTTGTAACTCTGCCACCCATCTCATTTCCTTCCATTTAGGCCATGTGTTTATACGATGGGATCACCAATAAACAACAGAGCCCTTTTCCCATGCCAAGAACCACCCGTTGCCTTGTCAACATGGCAAGCATCAGTCCGAGCATCTGCAGGCTTTGTTGTATTGATGAGTGGTGAAAACTCAGCAGAACCAGAGCAGCTTCAAGAAGGTGAAATTTATTTTCTACAGTAGTGTTTTCAATAGTTTTATAATTGGAGATATAACTTAAGTAATGACATTATTTTTGAAAGGGTATAAAAGCACTTAAAGGACATCTACAAGTAATCTCTATGTGGGGTTGCCTATTCAAGGTCTCAGTAAGAATTAGTAAGAATTTAAGGATATTTTACAGATTTTGATTTTACTTTTTCTAAACCTAGATTTCACTTATTGTAAAATGACTTTATTTTAATCGCTTTGTAGTTGAATGTTTGACAGATAAAGTACTGAATCAGACTCTTGACAAATCCAAGCCTTGATTAATTAAACTTTTGGTTTCTGTTCTTCAGTCCAGTTGTAGCTTAGTGTGGCAAGGATTAAGAGCTGTCATTGTGTTGTATCTGTTTCCTGAAAAATATTGAATAAATGAAGAATATCAGTTCTGTACTCTGAAACTCTGGTGTTTGCTTTTTCGGTTTTGTTTTGTTTTGTTTTTAATATCGGTAGGTAACACTATCTGCAGCTGAAAGCAAGCAGGCATTTTTCTGTTTTATTGGTTACTTCATTCTTTAGACCTTTAGAAATTTTTATGGCAGTTATTGAAATAATATAAAGGATGTCTTGCCACCATTAGTTTTGAAATTGTTTGAGAAGTAGGGTCAGTATTTTCTAGAGTATGTAGTTTGGTTGCTAGACGTTTAAATATGAGGCCTGCTTTATGGAAGTGGTGCTCATTGATGTTCAGTGAGAAGTTAGGGTTTTCATGTATTTCAATAATATTAATAGTTAGAATTATCCTTCCTTAATTAGGCCTAGTTTAAGTACTGGCTGGTCTAGTGCTAGTATCGGGAGAGAAGTCCTAGATTTCTGTTTTATTCCCACTTTCCCCCTGACAAAGTAAACCAGATTCATACAGCACCACTGTGGCATTAATCAGCGTCAGTCAGTAGAGCTGCAGAAAGTGCAAGCTGTATTCAGGCTACAGACAGATGGAGAGAGCCTTAACTCTTGCACACAGAAATGGAGATAAGTTGAATGGGAACATTCTGTGGGGTGAATCCAACATCCATCTGGTGACTGTGTACACTGATTTTTTAAAGTTTTTTAAGATTAAGTCCCTAAGTAAATGTATACATCTCCCTTTGCAAAAGAGAAAGTTGTTGCTCCTTATGTTTGGACAAGGCCCACCACTTCACAGTTATATACTCTAGTTGTAAATAAATGAAATTAGGATTACAGTCCTTGTATCTTACCCATTCTGATAAAAGAAGCTCTTAGAACTCAAGGAAAGTCAGCCTCAAATGGAACTGTTTTGAAAGTCTCAGTTCTGAAGTAATATAAAATTTTAATACTTACAATAATTACAAGGCAAGATTTAACCCTTACAGCAGTTATTTTCAACCATAAAACTGTCTTCAGAGATGACTGAGAGGCCTGGGGGTAGCGAGGCCATACAACGGGATCTGGACAGACTGGAGACCTTGGCTGAAGCCAATGGGATGAGGTTTAACAAGACCAAGTGCTGGGTCCTGCACTTTGGCTACAACAACCCCAGGCGACGCTACAGGCTTAGGAAGTATTACTTTTCAGAAAGGGTGGTCAGGCACTGGAATGGACTGCCCAGGGAGGTGGTGGAGTCACCGACCCTGGGAGTATTCAAGGAAAGACTGGATGTGGTGTTGAGGGACATGGTTTAGTGGGAGCTATTGGTAATAGGTGAACAGTTGGACTGGATGATCTTTTAGGTCTTTTCCAACCATGGTGATTCTATGATTCTATGACTAACTCTTTCTACTTAATTTATTCCTGTCCTGATGAATTGCTTTGCTCAGTTTCACTCTTTTTCTAATTCAACCCTCAGGCAAAGTTTAATAGTGGTTCTTAGCTACTGCTCTAGTGAACTGACTTCTTGTGTAATCTTTCAAAACTGTTCATAGCATATAGTGATAAAATAAGTTAATTTCTCAACACTTGCAAAAAGGGGCTGATGCCTATATTTAGATAAGGTCAAAATTTTATTTAGTAGGAAACATATAGAAGCATTTGGATACTGAAAAGTAGCTTAGGCATACTTTTGATGTATATAATTTTGCTTCCTTTTGGCCAAAAAAAATTGTAGACTGAATAGTAGTTTTTTGCAAAGGTCCTGTGAAAAGTTTGTTTAATGAAGGCTTATGGAAAAGGTTAGAATTAGGTGTTTGTGGGAAAAAAAAAAAATCCCCTCTAAAGAATCAGATTTATATTTGAGAGGGGAAGAATGAATAAAACTATCCTTAATTTGAGAGCCATCAGTTTGCATTGAATTATCTAATTATTTTGGTCATAGGTAAAGCATGTTTCAAGCCTTGACTCTGCTGCTGATATATGGAAAACTGCCATGATGAGCTTCTCACTCATTTGGGCAATAGTGTTTTCCTGACATGGTATTAAGAAAGTGTTTTTGATTTCAGGCTAGGAGAACAGTTCTGCCATTCTTGTATAATTTATTTTTATTCACACTCCTGCCTTGCTGATGAGTTGTTACCTGTACGTTAGTGGTGTCTGCATAGTCTAAAGTATTATGAAAAAAATGATTCTGATGTGAATTTCTAGAAACAGAAACCTGTGGAAAATTTTTAGACAACATAAATGAGCACAGGCCAGTTAAAATCAATATTCTCTTAGATCAATTCGCTAGTTGAAAAGTCTGTATTGTGCAATAATTATTTCCTCAATAAGATTGCTTTGTGACTCTAGTTTAAAGAGTCTATTAAATATGTATAGTGGTATTAAGAGAAAAAATTAATTCTGGGGAAAACCGTTTTTAAAATGCAGTTGATGAAGTGTTGAAAATGAAATCAGTGTACCATATCATTAATGATAGGATTGGGACTTAGTGGCCCAAAGTGAGCCTGTCACCACGTGTAGAATATAAGGGTTTTTTGTTTAAATCCTTGTAGTAGTTGTAATCAGTAATTCCTGTGTCAATGTAAAGCTTCGTATATTTATTTATTTTTAATTTTCCAAAACCAATCCACTGTATATCCTAATAACTCCATGAAAGTAAGAAGTAGTATAAGAAGTCTTTAATGGAAAGGCCTATAGAGAGGAAATGATTCATTTTAGCTTCACTGTGCTAATGACATGCTGAGTGAAAGGTGTGTAGTGAGCTGGGAAGAACCAAATGCAGCATTAAATGTAGGCCCTTTCAAAGAAGTTTTGAGTTAAGCTTGACTGAAGTGAAGCAGCAAGACTGCATTTCAGTCTTTAGGTTTTTCCTTTCCCTCTCCCCAGGATGGCATTCCCAAGAACATCAAAGATTTTACTTACAGAACTACATGACACACAGGACTCTTCATTTGTCCTAATTTTGTCATGAAATAAGGCTTGTTTGATTTCTTTTAAGGTAGTAAATATTATACTCCAATAACTCTCAAAGGCTCAGCAATTAGTAACAGCCTCATTATCAGTGTGCTTATATACCACAAAAAAATAGCAAACATTTTAGAGACCTGTTCGGAATTGTAAAAAATGTACAAAATAGATGAGGAGAGAAAAGAAAGCAGTGATATTGTAAGGAATGATTTAAAAAGAAAACACAAAGTCAGGTGCTAATCTAAATGAATTCTTAATGAGTTTAGGAATCCAGATTCGCTAGGTTCATTAGTAGGCCTGTGCTGCTGAATAGGCTGTTCGATATAGATCTTTTCATTTTGCAGCTTTGCAGGGCATATTAACTTAGAATTTTGTCTTTAGAACACATCTACCAGCCTTTCAGGGAGAGTTAAATGAAAACATTTTATTTATTTTATTTATTTATTTATTTATTTATTTTTACATACAATATGCTATTGCTGTACTGCATATTTATAAAATCACACTGGCAGAACACCAAAATATATTTTAAAGAATGGAGTTCCCTAGGAAAAACAAGCATTTTAGCAGTTGTTAATTAATTTATTCTGAACAGAACTACAGGTTAGCTGAATTTTTGTTGTTTCAAATCATATTTCTAATGAATGTGTAAGCAGTTAATAAGAGAGCAGCAAGCAAGGATTATACCTATCACCTTTAAACAGAAATCTGCATTCTGCTTCATAAACCTACATCTCTAGATGTACAGATGCTTTGATTCAACACCAAGGCAAGATAAGGGCTACTCAGTGCACAGAATCCTCATTCTCCATTTGTATTTGCAGGTTTTCTACTAATTACATATAGCATTTTTTGCATTCTCTCTCCTATAAAATTATGGCTCATCCTTTCATTTGAAATGAAATGTGGCCACAGTTGCTTGAAAGATAGTGCAGTGTCACCCAAGTAGAGATGGGAACTGTTCAGGTAAGATCTGTAAGTGCTTCAAAATACTATGCATTCTTTATGTAGTACTTAAGGGAGTAAAAAACGTCAGAAGAATGCTTTTGGTAAGGCCCGTGGGGAAAAAGAGAACACTATAGGTGTGTTTGTGTGTAATACAAGGCATTTAACCACTGGATGTACTTTTTAATTTTTGTTATTATTATTTTCATTTCATTGCCGTTACATACAGAATGTGCATATATGTTTTGTCACAAGCACCTTTATATTAGTTTTTATTCATGTTCAAGAGGTAAGCATGAAATCAAAAGGCTTGGTCTGTGTGCAATTGCTCTATGTTCACATATTCCTAGTGTTTCTATCTTATGTAGATTTTGATTTCAGCTAGAAGATGTGTTTTGTTATTAGAAATATAGTGGTATAGAAACCATCACCTGCACTGTAGCTCATAGCAAAATATTTTGTTTGAGCTTTTCTCTCTTTTCCTAAGGCAAAATTAAAGAGTCTGGTACCCATGTTGATTGATCTCCAGTATGTAGCAGGAATTACAGCGTGAGAATTGACAGCTTGTCACATACTGCTCATCCCTCTGAGTCAGTGCTGAACTGATATTCAAGCATGAATGTGAGAAAGCTATATGGGAAGTTCTGCCCTTCAGATAAGATAAAAAATCTCTGCAAGTCACAAGGAGTTCCAGAAAGCTGGAGAATTCTT